AATTTTAAACTAGGACTCCCATGATCTAATTGGACAAGCATTTTCTTGCACCAACCTTCAAGCGCAGGAAGTTTATACTTTTTTTCCCACTCTAAATAAAAGCACCAGTTTCTATAAATAAGAGTCCAGTTTGAAAACAAAACAAACGAAACTTATTTCTTATTTTACAATAAAATTGTGGCACAGTGGACAAGGCCCTGGCTCACTCGTCTTCCCAGCTGTAGACCCAGGAGCCGCCTTGGGGGGCAAAGCACCCCATGGCCTTGACTGCTAGGTGGGGGTCGCTGGCAGAGTGCCTTTCCACCTGCCTCGGTGCTGAGGCTTGGCGGGTCTGGTCATCTGGTCCTGCAGCATCCCGGGCGCCCACCGACTGCCGGGGTCTGCGCTTAGGGGTCATCCGGCCTGCACACTTGGGCTGCCTGACCAGGGCCCCGTTGTGGAAAGGAAGCGGAGCCCCCGGGTGGTCGGGGAAGGAAATGGCAACCCACTCCAGCATTCTTGCCTGGAAAGTCCCTGGTCAGAGGAGCCTGATAGGTTATAGTCCATGGGGTCGCAAAGAATTCAGACACGATTGAGCGACTTGACTGTCACTACCACCGTCTGTCAGCATGGGCTAAAGTCCTCTCCCGCACCCAACGCTGGCTTGGCCTTGGATCTGGAAAGACCCGATACACAGTGAACAGACTGAAAAGCAAACACATCCTAATGACTATAGCCTAAATTTCCCCAAACGTACGTATAGACACCCTTCCCATATAGAGCTTATTACGGATGGACATCACCTACCTCTGCTGAAGTCTTCAGCTAACTTATCAACCTTACTGATGACTTCAATATGAATGACTTGTAGGAGATGCAGGTTCGATCCCTGGGTTGGGAAGATCCCCTGGAAGGGGAAATGGCAAACTATTCCAGCACTCTTTCCTGGGAAGTCTCATGGACAGAGGAGTCTGGTGGGCCACAGTCCATGGGGTCGCAAAGAGTCAGACATAACTTAATGACTAAACCAGCATCATCCTATGACTAGCTAAGTTTGGGAAACAGTACGTTGTAAAGAATATAAAATTTATGAGTAAACATTAACAACCAAATGCTCTTACAATGAAGGGAAGATTTTTACCCTCTCTCTGGGGAAACATTTAGATGCCTCCATGGCCACCCATGCTAGATGCTGGCTGGGTCCTGTGAGGAAGAACCCTCACTCTGCGTCCTGGCTCCCCGAGCATCTATCCTGACAACTAACCCACAGAATGAGAACTGGACTTGAACCACTGCAGTCTGCATTAGAGTCTTGATTCTGTCACTTCCTTTCCAAGCATGTCTCATCTTGAAGATGGAGATGAGGGCTGGCTAACAGAGTTGAAAGGATGGTAAAACAGGTGTACAGGAGGGCTTTGTTGACCTTTAGTAAGTGTGAAGCAACAGACAAATGTAGGATCGTCACTAACACACGGTTCTCCATGCACGGATTCCCCTGTCCTCACTTGCTGAAGTCTTGTCCATAAACACAGTGGCCGTTGGTGTGGTGGGACCAGAGGGGAATAACAGTGCTTGGCTGCCTGAACTTCCTGAGGATGACCAGGAACACCTGAGGAAAACACTTTTCTCCTAAGATAGCCTTTATCTCAAACTTCGAGTTACATGCCAAGAAAATGCTTGACTACTGTGAAAAAAAAAAAGAAGAAGAAAAAAAAAAAAGAAGAAGAATTACTTACTTCACAGAAAACAAATTATCAGGGAATGCGCTCTCCCAGGGACTTGGGAAAGGCCTTTAACCCAGGCTAAAGATTAACAATGATAATTATTAAACTGGAAGCTTACTGTCAGTTAAGATAACTGCACTTGAAAAAGCTGAGAAGGAATCTGGTTGCCTTGGTTTACTCAGTTAGGGCCAGAGAGTGCGATATACCCTATCCCAGTCCCTGGAGGCGGGCGTGGCTGAGCCCCCACTGTGTACCAGACACCCGGCTTTCCATGTGTTACTAGATGGCTAAACTCTCACTTCAGCTCTCTAAGAAACTTCCCCCTATTTTGTAACGCTACTCAGCGAAACCAACTGTCATGCCCAAGATGGCATTTCTACCTGATTTTATATCCTGCTTGGCTTCCCTGGTGGCTTAGATGGTAAAGAATCTGCCAGCAAAGCAGGAGACCCGGGTTGAATCCCTGGGCCGGGAAGATCCCCTAGAGGAGGGCATGGCAACCCACTCCAGTATTCCTGCCCGGAGACTCCCATGGACAGAGGAGCCTGGAGGGCTACAGTCCATAGGGCTGCAAACGGTCAGACACGACTGAGCAACTAACGCTTTCTTTCACTCCGGACCCTTGTGAGGCCAAAAGTGATGTGTCTGGCAACAGCAATAACATTTATTCAAGAAGCACATTTCCTAATTTGGCTTTGACATAGTCATTAGCACACAGCATTGCTTTCTTATGGGTGTGGCCACCCAGATCAATTTAGAGGACAGAAAGCTGAATCCTGTGCTGAGAAGCAGATTCTTTCAAATCTCAGCAATGACTGTCTGCGGCATACCTTCCTCTGCTTCAGGGACACGTCTGCATGAAGACATAGGGCCCGTGTAGAATCAAGAAGCCAAGGGGGAATTACTGCCTTCTGTCTGTCTCCCTGCCACCATTCCCGCCCCCGACCTCCCAGTTCACAAGGAAGACCCCATTCTTAGCTGAACTTCAAAACACACAGGTGACAATATAATCACTGTTCATATTTTGATGGTCCTCAAAATCACCAATGAGTTTCTTACTCAATTTCTTATGATGAGTGAAGTTCTTATCCATTAAAAAAAAATTATACTGGTTTATACTTGAAATAGTGCTATCAGCCTATGAAAATAATAAAATACTCCCAATCTCTAGTACTTTGGACATACCAAGTTGCATATTTTACCACCTACTTTAAAGAATCAAGTCACAGATTATATATACTGTCTATTTCACAAAGTAATAAGTAATCAAAAACTTAATAACTTTGAACTTTGTATAATTAAGTTAGCTAGCTGTAGGTTTGATTTGTATTCTGACAATAACTTTTCAATGTTGAGGCCATCGTCAGCCTTTAAAGAAACGACTGCCTGCTGATTGCTTACCTTTAACCTCAAGCAAAAGGTTTGTCCCACTCACATCTATACTCTAATCGAATGCATCTAACCACTGCTTGCTTAGTAGGTTAGAGGCTATCCTTCATTCCAAGGCATCAGAGAACAAAGGAGCTGTATGATGTATCTGTTCCAAGGGTCACTGCTGCTGGAGCTGTCCTCTCGGCTTCCTCCTATACTCATCAACGTGGGATTTCATAAAACTTCTACAGATTATTAAAAGCATTCTAAATATTTTCCCGATTCTGAATTATAACTACAGCTTTTTCTCTGACAACTGCAACTCAGGTATCAACACTTTTCTGAAAGTCCATGGGACTTTAAATGCTTGCACACTCAACTGAACCCTTGAATACAGACTTAGAGCAATTATATATTAGAGCTGGAGAGAAACTGATATATCCACCTCTCCAAACACCATCATTTTTTACAAACCAGACACCCACAGTCCTCAGGGGATAAAGGAGCTGCTTGAGGTCCCAGAAGCTCCTGGTGGAGCCTCATTGACCCAGATTCCCTCTCATCTTATATGGCTCTTATATGGCAAGTCAGTCTTATATGGCAAGTCCAAGTTCAGCACCACAAGAGTGGCAAAGCTTCCTTATTCACTTGCATATCCATCTCACACCTATTAAAGGCCTGAAACAAGGAAGCAGCTCAACAAACTGGAGGTGGGCACAGAAAGAGATAAGCTAGAGGCATGCAAGGAAAAATCTAGACGAGGAGGTAGAAGAGAGATTACAACTTTGAGATAAGTACAAACAAAATGCTATGTGGGTTCAGAAGGCAGTGGCTCATGGAGTGATTCAGTGTCCAAGCTCTGAAGTCACCCATGCTACGCTTTTTCATTCAGGCACTCAACAAATATTCAATGAGGGTTGCCCTGGTGCAGGGAACAGATAGATGGGCAAGACAAGCAGAGGCCCTGACCACAAGCAGAGACTCCAACAAGGAAGTCAGCAGTTCATTCCAACTGGTGAAAATTCTCTTATGGAAAAATCAAAGGGGTAATGTAACAACGGATATGTGCAGGAGGAGACAATGTCAAGCAAGGCAGCCACGGGAAAGCATCTTTGAGGAAGTGACGCTTAAGCTGAGACTACAGAGGACCCACTGTGTGACCTTAGGCAGGATACACACCCTTTCTGAGATCCAGAGTTTCCTTCCTCATCGGGATCAGGAAGGCAAGGCCAAGTACCTCACGGGGCTGCAGGAACGTGATGTAAAAGTGCATGGACCTGGATCGCCTGCACACACTTAAGACATCGTGGCTACTGTCGGTCTCAGAAGGTCAGAGGCCCGTGGCAAGTGAGAAAGCTCAGGAGGTCAGCAATGAGAGGCCAGCTCTGAGCGGGACCACGACTGCTTCCGTCACCTGCCTGTGTCTTCCCTGCTAGACGGCTCGCTCCAGGGCCGGGGCCAGGCGGGCTCTGACCAGGCGCTGGGGGCGCGGGGGTCGGGGCCCCCGGCCGCCCGGCCCTCGCCCGCACCCGTCCCCGCGGCAGCCATCTTGGCGTCCTCCCCGCGGCGGGTTTCGGCACGCGGCCCCGGGGACAGCGTGGCAGGGCGCGTGCGGGCGCGGATGCAGAGCCCCCCTCCGCGCCGGGGGACCCGCTCCACCGCAGGGCTCCGGCCGGAGCTCGCGGGAGGTCAGGCTGCCGGAGTGGGGACCTCAGGCAGCGGGACGGCAGGTGGGGTCTCCCAGGTGCGGGACCCCTGGCCCGGGGAGTCCCGGGCGGGCCGAGGGGGCTTTTGATTTCCCAGCCGGGGTGGGGGCGGGGGGTCTCCCAGCAGCCGCCCGCGGGCGCGCGCCCCAGCTCCAGCCCGCGCCCGTCCGCCCGGCTCCCTGCGCGTTCCCCACCCACTGCACCCAGGCCCGCGACTCACCATTCCCTCCGGGCCACCGCCCGCGCAGCTCTCAGAACCTGCTCGGCGCCGCCTCCGCCGCCACCGGAAGCGCTTCTCCCGCCACGGCGGCCCCACCCCGTGCGCGGCCACGAGGCCAGGAGGCCGGGACGCGCCCTCGCTGTCACTGCGCTCTGGGCGCAGCCTCCGCCTGGTCCAAGGGCGGAACCGCTGTGCCTGCGCATTCGCTTCTGACTCGTTCAGGCACTCCCAAGTTCATCCTCGCGGCAGTGGGGGGCACTGCTCAGGCCAGTGCCTCGGTTCCCATTTTGGTTTCCAGGAGACCGCCTGCTTTACTTGATCATTTCCCGGTTACCAGCATCTTCTTGTTCATCTTCTCACTCACTCATCTTCTCATTTAGTTGGTAAAGAATCCGTCTGCGATGCAGGAGACCCCGGTTGGATTCCTGGATCCGGAAGATCCTCTGGAGAATGGATACGCTACCTGCTCCAGTATTCTTGGGCTTCCGTTGTGGCTCATTGGGTAAAGAATCCACCCGCAGTGCGGAAGGCCTGGGTTCAATCCCTAAGTTGGGAAGATACCCTGCAGAAGGGAAAGGCTACCCACTCGGCCTCCTTTTCTTGATCATTTCCCAGTTACCAGCATCGTCTCAGTCATTCATTTAAGCCACTGTTTCCCAAAGTGTGGAATCTGGCACGGGGGAGACAAATCGGTTTGCTATGGTGCCAGGGCCATGACCTGATTTATGTCTTCACAAAACTTGCCCCGCTGCTGTGGAGGAGGGACGTGGAGGCAGAGAGGCCCGTAGGCAGGCGACTTTGGCTGGCCAGGGGAGAGATGACTGTGGCTTAGACCAAGTTGGTTATGGTGAGAATTACTGGATTCTGGGGATGTTTTGGAGGCAGACGAAATCTAATAAATGGTGAATTTACATTATTTAGCGGATAGGAAGATTCCATTTTTAGAGTCGTAAATTCTCCCCCAAATCAGCCTAAAAATTGAATGTACTTCCAAACAAAATTCTGACAACTCTAGTGGGTATAACGGTGTGGCAGATAACTTGACAAGGTGACTGTAAAAGTGAATATGGAAAAATAAAGAGCCAGAAATAGCCAAAGCAAGTTTAAAGAAAAAGAGCAAGGTGGAGGGACTTGTCGTGTGAACACAGAAGGTTGTGTGTGTGCAGGTAACAACAAATAGTACAGCCAAGCAGAGGAGCCAGACGTGAGCCCTGCACGTAGAGAAACCCGCTGCTAGCTGCATCCCCGGTGAAGGCCAGCCAGTGTCTGGGCTTCCCTGGTGCCTCAGTTGGTAAAGACTCTGCCTGCAACGCAGCAAAGCCGCTTCAGTTCCTGGGTGGGGAAGATCCTCTGGAGAAGGGATAGGCTACCCACTGCAGTCCTCTGGCCTGGAGAATTCCATGGACTGTATAGCCCATGGGGTCTCAAAGAGTCGGACAGGACTGAGCGACTTTCACTTTCAGGTGAAGGGAAGATTAAATATCCATTAAATGATGCTGAGGCGATTGAATCCCTACCTTAAACCATCTGTGAAAATGAGCTCCACACAGTTTAAAGACCGAAATAAAAAAACCAAAACTCCCAGAATTTTAGCAGACAATATAGGAGGGTACATTTATGACCCGGGAATAAGGGGGGCATTCTTAAATAAACACAAAATAGACAGACTGTTGGCTTCCCAGGGGTGTAGTGGTAAAGAATCCACCTGCAATGTGGGAGATGCGGGTTCGATCCCTGGATCTGGAAGATCCCTTGGAGGAGGAAATGGCTAACCAATCCAGCATGCTTGCCTGGATAATCCCATGGACAGAGAAGTCTGGTGGGCTACAGTTCATGGGGTCTCAAAGGGTCAGACACAGCTGAGTGACTGAGCATACACTCATGAACGGAATATAAAGGGAAGATTAAAAAGTTAAACCTCATTAAACAATTCATGTACTCTGTAATAAAAGGGAAAGAGTTTGTTTACAGGCTTGCAGGAAATGTTTTCAATACATGGATCTGACAAAGAATACATGTGGAAGCAATATTTTAAAAGATTCACAAATTAAGAGGAAGAAAGAGAAGCTATCCAGTAGAAACACATACAGAAAACTATGAAACATTTATAAAGGAAAAACAAACGACCCTGAAACCCAAGGAAAGACATTCAACCTGGCTAGTGATTTGGTCACTTATAATTCCTAAGAACGTTTAACCAGTTTCTTTTCTTTACTACATATTGTGCCAAGTGTTGGACTCAAAAAGATTTTATAAAAATTCCTCCCTAAAATAACTTAGTGGCAAGGAGGTAAATGTGTAAACAAGTAGTTACGATAAATGATTATAACTCAGTATAAACACTGTCACAGTATAATATGGGCTGTGTAAGTAAGTGCTATGAGCACGTGGGAGGGGTGCCTACCTCTGCCTGCAGAATGGGGATAAGAGAGAGGTCTGGTAGATACAAAGTTTATCTGTTATCTTTTGCCACATTGATGCTGCAACAGAACCACAAAAACCTCAGGAGTATACACTCATAAAGGTTTGTTTTTGTTCCTGCATCTGTATGTTGGCTGGCACTTCTGCCAATCAAAGCTGGGCTCTGCAAAACTTACTCAATTGGTGGCTCTGTGGGTCTTGGCAGGGCTTTCTCACTATCTGAGTACAAGAGGACTCAGTCAGTCCTCTTGGCTCTGTTCCAAGTCTCATTTTTCCAGCAATTCAAGGTTGCCTTCACTTCTGCTTTATCCTATTGGTCAAAGTAAGTCACATGACCAGCTCAGATTATCTCTTAATGGGAGAAGATGCATGGTGACTGTAAATAGCTAAGATATATAGACAAGTGAAAATGGGGGGACATTATTTTTCAAAAATTCTTTCTTGTGTGTATTTTACCTTCTCAGCATCCCAATTTCTTTTGGGGAGCTCCCAACACTTACTTCATTTGATCCTGATCAGATCATCAATCATGGAATTTATCTTCTCTTGCCTGCCATTGTCATGCGTATATAACACAAGCTTGGTCAACCAGAACCCTGCCCTAAATTTATATGTAGACACTGGAAAAAAGAGCAGTCACCTCCCTCCTCTGGCCCTCCTGGGGTTGCTAAGCTGGAAGAATATGGATCGGGCCTGCCTGGGCTGCTGTTTTTGCCCGTTGGCAGAATTGAAACTAAGCTGAAAGATGCAAGAAAGACAGTTCAGATGACATCATTGCAGGCCCTGGACGCAGTCAGTAGTGAAGCTCAATCTACCTCCTGGGCTTCTAGTTAGAGGAGCCCATATATCAACCCATGTGCACATTTTTTTTTTTTTTTTAAGTCATAAGTTCTTTTGAGTTAAAGTTCTGTCTCTGCTGACTGGCACAGAAGTAGTGACTTTGAGCTGAATGAAACCAAATTTGAAAAATCAAAGAAAAGAAGGCAGATGACAGAAGAAGAAATAAGCTAAGGTTTAAAGAGTAGAAAGTAGGTGTCCACATGTGTTCCTACCATTGTTTTACAAAAACATTTTTAAGAAACAGTGTCCAGAGAAGTTAAACTAGTATTTTTCAGCTTTGATGACAAGGATGTTGACAAGGGCTTGGGGATTCTTGCTGGGCTTGCATTGGCAAAGGTTGCAAAACCCTGACATTTTAATATGGACTTTGAACTCTTCAGGGCATGGCAAAAACAAAACAAGGCTTAAGCCAGCAAAGATAGGGGGAAATTTCTGAGCATAGTGTAAGTTGCATGAGCTGAGCAAAGATCTTGCAGAATATATCACAAGATGAAAGTTTCCATATTGTAGAACAGGGAATTCAGTGAGACTTAATATTTAAATGAAAACCTTAAGTTCCAGACTCTGTTAACAAAGTTATTTATGATGATAAAAGGAAATACATAATCATGATTTTGTAGAGGTATGCGAAAGTTCGTGTACATACTCTGTGCTGTTCCCCAGCACTCTCCCTGAGAAAGTTTTAGTATGTTTTCTTCTAGAATTTTCTTTTCTGACCTAATCAAACATTTCTTCATCCTGAGCCTAATAGAAGAAGGGACATAGGGGTATAACAGTCACGGAGTATCCACTGTGAGCTGGGCCTATAGTAGTCACTTTCACAAACATCTTTTCTAGTCCTTAGTGAAACTCTGAGAGGTTAACTACTTGTGTTAGTCAGGGTTCACTGAGAGAATAGAACCAATAGGATATGTTTCTATCTCTACAGTGAGCTAGCAACCCATCCATCCATCCTCTATCTGTCTATCTGTCTAGAGAGTTTTGATAAGGAATTTTCTCAATGATTGTGGGGGCTTGCAAGCCTGAAATTTAGAGGACAGACCAGCAGGCTTAAAACTCCCACTGATGTTTCAGTCTTGAGTAGGTGAACTTCTCTGGGAAAATCATTCCTTGCTCTTAAGGCTGTCAGCTGCTTAGGTGAGGCCCACCCACATTATGGAGGACAGTATTCTTTCTGCAAACTCAACTGATTGCAGATGTTAACCATATCTACAAAACACCTTTGCAACAGCACCTAGATTAGTGCTTAATTGAATAACTGGGTTTCTAGCCAAGACTGGCTGATGCATAAAACTAACCATCATATTATCCTTCCCCTGACTTTATATTTCCTCTCACTCTTGCTTCTAACAATCCATCCCCTGATCTTTTGAAATGTGAAGAAGACCAAGTCATCCTCTACTTTAAAATCCTCAATGGCTACCAGCTACACTTACAATTAAATCTGAACATTCCATCATGACCTATGGACTGGCATGATCTGTCCTATCCCATTTCTGCAGTTTCATATTAATATTACCAAACATCCTGACTTCAGAACAGGCCAACTTATTCCCACCTCAGGCCCTTTGCATATGCTGTTCCAGCTGCCTGGAATGCTTTCAGGTCAAATATCACTTCCTCAGAGAAGCCTTCCTTGGCCCTCCCACTCCCACTGGAGTCCATCAATAGGTGTCCGCATGTGTTCCTACCATTGTTTTACAAAAACATTTTTAAGAAACAGTGTCCAGAGAAGTTAAACTAGTATTTTTCAGCTTTGATGACAAGGATGTTGACAAGGGCTTGGGGATTCTTGCTGGGCTTGCATTGGCAAAGGTTGCAAAACCC